GCGTATATATATATATTTTTTTTTTTCAGTAAAATCATTCTTTCCATATATAATTGCTTGATAATTTCAGAAGTTTTACACCAAATTGGTTGGAATAAAAATTCCTATGCTTAATAGAGTTTCGTTTCTGTATCACATCTCGATGCGTTTTCACCATTCATTACAGCGACTACGCGCGACGCCGTGCGACGATAAAGCGCCTCACGAAGCTATTGGCTACCGTAATTTGTCCGGCGATGTCACAGAACTCTTAACTCCCCGTCCATATCGGAAACGGCGTGAAAACGGCGAACGCTATTAGAGAGGCGATCGTGTGTACACCAGTCCGCGGATTGGTTGCGATGCAATTATGTACGGCAGGGTGGGCGGTCGGTCGGTCGGGCGAAGGTGTTAAATTCACTGGATGTGTATCCTGGCGAGCGAGCCCCATTCTGGGCGGTAGCCGACACAAATCCGATCGTATTTTCATCGACGCCAAATTGGCAATATCCTCGCCGGTGACGATTCCTGAATTATGCATCAGCCTCGGGGACAGTCGCTCCGAAGTTTATCCATCCCGCTTGTTTCCACCGAGAAGCCCGACCCGCTCGGCTCTCTTCCACGCAGAGAGTTTTCTCCCCTTCCCGTCTCCTCCTCCTCCTCCTCCTCCTCCTCCTCCTCCTCCTCCATCTCCTCTTCTATCGCTTCACTTCCTCCTCGTCTCCCTCCTTCGCAACCCCCTCGGAACATTGCACTTCCTCTCGTCTCTCTCGCCGAATTGCCACCCCCTTTCGAGTTCCCTACCCTCCGCGCACCCTTTCTCGGTTGGAAACGTCACTTATTGGTCGAGCGAGAGGGTGGAAAAAGAGACGATACTCTCGAATCCGACCAATCACGGTGAACGCCCGTGATAATGCTCGCGATATCTTGCACCGGTGAAACCTGGCGCGAGGAGAACGCCGTGGGAGAAGTTTCTGCGAGCGCGAGATAACTCTCATCGAAAGCGATTTCGGCCGAGACCGTTCTCTTGGATTTCCCGCCAATTGATATAATACTATACTGAAATATATATACCGAGTGCATTCTTATTGAAATCTGTATTATTTTTAATAAAAATTATATAGTTTTTTTTTATCAAAACGATATATATACTAAAATATTTTTTTCGATCTGAAGTTTGTGTCAATTCAACAAATCATACAAGGAGAATAGAAAATGCTACTTGCATAATTATATAAACGTATAATTATACATCAATTTTTTTTATATATATATATATTATATTTATTATATATTATTATATATTATATTTATATAATTACAATTATAATTTATATTTGTATTAGAGAGTTTTTTAAAATGATAACAAAATTAAACATACGTGGCTCTGTAATGATGTGAACGACTGAGTCGCTTCCATTTTAATAAACAGGAAGCGAAGTAGAAAGGATAGATTATTAGGCGCTTGGAAACAGCACTTAAGCCTTTAAGAAAGCGTCGAGGTCCAACTCGAAAGACAGACAATGGGAAGTAAAAGCAAAGCATCATTCGGAGAAGGGCGAGGGTTGTCTACCCACCCCAATAATAAAATGATAAGGACCTTCGTCTTTCCGCCGCCCAAACTTCCTTCTGACTGAATCCCCATCGTATATAAATGTCGATATTATTGTAACGAGACATTTTTGATGCCGATTTCATATCGTGCGCTTGCCTTGATACGCATTCGCATGATATACGTCGAAATCGGCAGAAATGGCGTCCACACGTACAGCTACGATTATTATCGCGTATACAAACGGGAATCAAACATTGGAACCGATCACCAACAGTAGAAATCGATTTTCTCTATTCACAGCAATCCGCTGTTCGTCCTCCCTTTCATCCCGCATATCATTCCCGCATTTCGTCCTCGTTAAAACACATCGTAGCAATGGATATGACCTATCGTTGAGCAGAAATGGTTGTGAAACTCGCAAAATGTGAGGCTTTCATTGAAACCTATAACTATCTCTTCCATATCGAGTTACCGGGAAAATACAAACAGTTATCACATTTTTGTATTCAAAAAAAGTCAATATTAAATAATATTAATTAATAAACAAGACTTTATTTATAAAATGTATGATATATATAATCGATTGATGAAATGTGCAGTAAAGTTTATATAGTCGATACATGATGTATAAACTAAAAGCCTTTCTTTATATCACAAAAAATTTGTTTTAATAATTGACAAATATTTGTTTAACTCTTCACAAGCATTTAGCATCTTATCTAGCTTATCTGTTTTGTATTACACAAAATAGAGAAAAATGAAAGATACAAATCTAATTCCCGAGCTTGCGTTCCAAATAAATTTAATATGAATCATTTATATCGATTAGTCGACTATATTCATCGCTTTTCTGTGAAAGTATTAAGATATTAATTTGTGGCATACGTGCAAAAGGAAAATAATACATTTTGTATAATTAGCTGCGAGATCTATTCGAATTTAGACTTGAATTTTTTTCTTTTAAAAAATTAGTAAGATGCACATCGAATGCCGTATGATCAACAAAATCTATTCAAAATAACGAAAATAATTTGTTTTTAAATTCTTTTAGCTAAATCAAATAAATTAATCATTTCTTGTGTTGTGTTAATGCAAAAAATATGATGCAAATTAAATTTTTATACATAATAATATCGGAAATCATTCGCAACAAATTTATTTTATAACGTATGATTTTGATATGCATGATGTGTTTATATTTTTAAGTTGATACATTTCGATAAACATTATACACATTTATCGAATTGTAAGTTAATACTTATAGGAATCCTTCTATGTTAGGCTGAACACGCACACGCATTAGTATATATTATCAGCGTATAATTTTAGAATAGATAATCCGTTAGTCACGCGACGAGCAACATGCATCGGTAGCTGGTTTGTTCATCTTGCACTAAACTCTCGCGATCAATAATGCTTTCTTGAAAAAAAATTACAGATAAACAAAATGAAATCATTAGACGGAGAAATACATTATCAATCGCAAATCTGATAGAAGATGAACAAATCGGCCTTAAATTGTTGACAATTATCGATCCAGGAGACCGAATTTCTAATTTCATAGATCTCGCAGAAATCACTGTTGTGCACATTTATTCTTGTTTTCTCATCTTTATCTTAGATATTTTTCTGTAAAACTTATTCCTTACTATCATCCTGTATATATTTTTGAACAATAATCAGTCATTATTTTATCAAAATTTTTTGACAAAACAATTTGCGTATATAAGTCAATGTTTTGTATATAAAATAATTATTCTTCATGCAAATCAATGTTCAATTTTTTGAAAAAATTATTTGATATTTGAAACTTGTTTAATGTAAATCCTCTTTTTTGTTAAAATTTTTTTAACTTTCTGGTTATGTATTTAAAAAATAATGACCAATATATTATGCTTCGTTTCTCATACGATGCTTCAAGATGCCGACGTATTCTTTTTCTTCTTATTTTCTTCGCAACCTACAGTTTCTCGTTTTGCTTGTAGATTGCTTGGCTTCTTTGGAAGACAATAGTGTATGCCAGTGGGACAGGGGTAGGAATATTTCTTCTTCAACAGACACGGGTGTGTCGAGGGTCGCTTTTTTAAGATTTTCATCTCATAGCACGGACAAGGGCCAGGATGTATTTTGGGTGGTGGTGGACAAGGACAAAGTACGATAGGTGCGTTCGGTGGCTTCGGCAATGGAAGTGGAACACAAATTTGCTTCTTTTTGATGTTATTCAGTTTAATCTTTATATCAAATTTATCATCTTTCTGGAAGACTTCCATACTTGGACACGCTTTAGGCTTCATAAACTTCGGCGGTGCGCACGTTACCTTTGCATACTCCATCTTCGGTGGTGGAAAAGTTTGAGGCAGTTCGCACTTACCTAGTGGCAGACAAGTCTTCCTACACTCGGAATCCACGATCTTTTTCTCTATCTTTGGTTTCGTCTTCTCGTTTTGCTTATCGCACTTGACTTGCTTATCGTTCTTTTCTTGGTGACAAACGTCGCTCTTTTCCTTGCAAGATTTGCCATGCTCATCAGCTTTCTCGGTAGATTTACAGATTTTATCCATTTTCTTGCCAGCGGAAGGCTTACTAGAATCTGATTTAGCAAGTAGAAACAAAGAACTGTGAAATCCTCGCCAGTGAAGAAAGCCATGCCTATGCAAGAAAATCGGATAACAGAGATTACGATGAGAAGACGTCTTATACGTTTTATTTCTTTGTAATTTTGGAAGCTTCTTGGATATTTTCTGAATGTTTTTGGAAACATTTCGTGAGCACTGTGAAAGTGAATGTGAGCACGTTAAATGAGATCTAGAACATGATAAAAAATATTGTTTGCAAAGTTCTGGAGATAGGAGTTTCCATTTTAAAAGATATTCGAGGCACGTCAAATATTTAGAAGATGGTGCTAATGACTTCGAGTATTCTAGACATTCCAGAAATTGTGAATCTTTCTCTCGACAGATCTTTAAGAATGGCGATTTTTTTACGAATTTCGAATATAAAGCGAAAGAACGTAGCAAATTAACTGATTTATAATGACAAGATAGCGATGATAAAGTATTATGATAAAGCAGAAAATATTTCTCAATGAATTTTAAGAATGGTAGATAAGAAGGTGGAATTGTTGAATAGCAGACTGACATTGCCGATATTGGTCCATTCAAAGCCGGCAGTTTGTCCATTCGTTTCGTCATGAATGAACGTTTCAAAAAATATTTTCTTGATTGTTCATGAATCCGATCAAATGATTTATGCCTTAAAAGGCTTCTAGGCTTGAAGGAATTAAAATCTCTTGTGTAAATCAATCCTGAATTGAACATATTTATCGAATAGATTTTATAGTTCCATCGATTAAATCCTAATTCTCCTATTCCAAAGATAGGTCTTGATAGACTTCTTAGGAAAATTTCCGTTTGTAACTTTAGCTTCTGGATAGCCTGCGGGATTCAGAAAAAGAGATGAAGATAAAGAAATATATATTTATATTTTTAAAAATAACAACAGCTCTTCGTTTCCATCAATGATATTTATGATAGCCACTGATGCCTCCACGTACCTTCTGTCTCTTACTGACGCGATTCAGCAATACTCTTTCTTGCATGGTTTCTTGGGTGGGCAATGAACGCAGAATGGCTTTTTTTTGGGTTTTGGCTTGAAGGGATAACCCGGTGGTTCCATGGGCTGACAGGGGCCCTTGGGTGGATCGCATGGATTCTTTTTTGGTTCACCAGGCGAATCTTCGCCACAGTCTGGCTCATCTAGCCGCAGTACTCTGCCACTAACTGCCTGCTGGTTTTTACGTATTAATTCGTGAAGAATTTTGCTGCACTTTCTCAATAATCTCGCGGTAATCCCGACCAGCGCTCTTGGCCCACCTCCCTTCTTTAGAGAGTTTAATAAGACAAAAGCAAAGCGCTTGTATGAGTAAAGAATGAAAATAATGATTTAATGCGAATATAGTTCATAAATATAATAGAGAAGCTAATGCTTACATGCTTACACAAAGTGATTCTTTAATTTATACAAAAAATAGGATCAATTCATTGATTTGTTTTCTATTTTCATTAAATTATTGTCCTTGTTTTCATTAATGATTTTTTTTTCTTTTCTTCCGTCTGTCGTATCCTCGATTTTCGATGCTTCATGTTTGAATCGGAAAACTCGACGCTTGAATTCTGCTACTTTCTCGATCAAAGTTTGCAATTTTTCGACAGCGTCCTTGTTGGAAACTTTTTCTGACATCAGCATTATTCGATCAGGCTCTGTTAATTCTTCAATACTTGAAAAATGTACACGTGTGATAAACCTCATTAATGGACCTCTATTGACATATTTGTTATTTTCAAACAACAGCATCATCGGGTCAAAATTGTATGTGTCATACTCCTCGTCGATAATTGGCGATTCTTCACTAGGTTTTTTTATTTTTTTATTTAGTTGATAGTCTGTACCAATCTCGTCTTCGTATTCTTCACCTTGAGGGAAATAATCATCGTTGGCATCGTATAATAATTTCGATTTCTCAAACTCATCACACTGATTGTTACAATAGCAAGGATGAGTGACAAAATGATTATGTAGAAAAGAAAAATCGGAACAATCCTTGTGATTGACTGTCGAATTGAAATCTTGCTGAAAATCTTTAACAAAATTGATTTCCGTAAACTGTTGACATGAATTGATGATCGATAGAAAATCTCTGTTGATTTGGATCCGATTGGACTCGATCGGTTTTCCACTTCCCGTTATTTTTACCGCAGATGTCATCAATGAACTTGAACTCTCTCTTCTCTGCAGAGAGATGACGACCAAAGCAATCAGAAATAGAATTTATAATAGTTCATTATGTGAATAAGATATTCTTTTTCACGTATACGTATTGTACGATTTTGAATAGTTTAAAGTAGACAATTCAACGAGAAAAGAGGCAGAAGGGAGGTGGAGCCACAGCGATCACAAAACATTCTTGCGAGTTTTATATTTAGATAATTTTTTTAATTTAATCGCGTATAATTTTATTTAAAAAATGGCTAAATAAAATATGCTCAAATACGAAAGATATCGTTATAGTTTCATAATTTATTTATCAAATAAAAAAATTATTAAATTCCCCTTTATAATAATAAAATATAATAATAAATATTCCAAAAACTTACTTCTGCTATTATTTCGGATTTTGAAATCTTCACAGTCAAATTTTCTGGTTGTGGCTGAAATAAAAAATTATGTTATCATATAGTTGTTTAGTTAGAGTGTTTTTGTGACCTCTATATTTAAAAGAATATAACTAAAAAAATTTACAATACTGTATAAAAAAAATAATATTTATTATTACTCATAGATTTATAACAGATTTGTAACAGAACATATCATATACTTATATAAGTACTTCACAGATATAAGATATTATAAAAACAATAGTTTTTTTCTTTAAAGTAATTTACATTAATATAAATTAAATTTTGTTCCGAAATAATTCATTTTAAAGTTAACATAGATTTTGTAATTGATACTTGTATGGGGGGGAGGGAGGAGGCGGAAATATTTTTAACTCTATTATGATTTCTATATATAAAAAGAGACATTAAAAGTTTTTTTTTTTCAGGAAACATTTTATACGTAAATAATGCATAAGTGAGATAATTTCAAGAGTCTTTTTCTTTTGTGTTATCAGAACATTCTAACTTTTTAACAGGTCGACACTCTGGTTTTTTTATTTCTTCTTTCTTCTTGATATCATTCTTCTTCCTACATGGGCTTATGTCATGCAATTCATAATAAGTTTGTTCTTGTTCGAAAATATTGGAAATTCTGCAAGGATCTTCTTTTGTTTTACAAGGATCTTCTTTTATTTTATAAAAATCTTCTTTTGTTTTACAAGGATCTTCTTTTGTTTTACAAGGATCTTCTTTTGTTTTACAAGGATCTTCTTTTATTTTACAAGGATCATCTTTTTTCTTTTTACATAAGTCTTCTTGGATTTCCTCCTTTCTTTCACGAGGTTGTTCATGGCAAGGATCTTTTTCTATTCTAGGAATATCCTTTTTCGGTTTACACGGATCTTCTTGGATCTCCGCCTTTGGTTCGCAAGATTTACGCCAATTGCGGGAATATTTTTTATTACAAGAATTATTTCTTCCTTTGTAGGAAAGTACATTTTGTTTCTTGCCTGTACATTTTATTTTTCTCTTTTCTCTGTTCTGACACTTGTGTTCTATCTCCCTCTCTTCACACGACTCCTCTTTTTTGTTACAAAAATCATTATTCTCTATATTCTTCTTAAGAGTTCTTTTCCGCTGCATACAAAATTCCTGTATCTTCCTCCGAATGCCAACCTTCTGTTTATCAGCTTTATAATCCTTTGCAAAGAGAATTGCATTGTTGGAAATTATGTCGAAAAACGGAACTTGGTTCACTACAAAAATATTTTCTGAACAATACGAGTCTGAATGTGTTGTCGAATGAAATCGTATTTTGGCCTGCAGATCTGGGAGTATGGATTTGATTTTGGAACATGTTCGTCGAATCCAATTTTCCTGTTCAACGACATTTAACGTATCGTCCGTCATTGTTTCGCTGTCATGATTGAATGAATCTACTTCGCGATTATTTTCACGCTTGTAATTTATAAAATTTAATGAAGACAAAGGAAATATAATGCGAGCGTAGAATTCATGTAATAACTTCAATTTAGTATTCAATAGTATTTCTGGTATCGACCAATCGGTCGATTTCTCTGCTCCTTTGCAATGTGCCTCTATATTTGGAAGTATACTAACATTTCTAAATTTCTTCATCAATCTTCTTGCCGGCTTTTCGCCATGATTTAACAAAAACGTCAGCAACAATTGATTATTTTTTTTCGCAACATATGTTGCGAATGTACTGTAAGATAAATATTCGATTTTTTTCGTTCTTTTCTTAATCGATCGATCTATCTTTGCGATTTTCGCTTCTGGAATGAACTTCAGATCATACTCCTGAGACGATGGATACATCAAGTCGAAGAACCACTTGCAAATCGGAACGGTGTCGTAATTTCTTTGCCAGATTTTCATGTTGCTGGAACTCGTCTCACCCAGGACATAAAGACACATCCTGCTGCATGCATTGCCCGCCTGAGGACAGACGGAGATACGATTTCAAGATCGATTCTCTTGTAGACCTTTTCTTTGTTAAAGATTTACATGTGGTCGCTGGTCTTCAGCATCAATTAATTTTATTCGTAGATTAGCTAACTCTATATCCCAGTCTATATTTCGTTATTTTTTATAAAATCTGAGAGCGTCATTTCATATAATATCTTCAGTGCAAGCGTCTTCAGGCTTCTGTTACCAAATTTTTTGGAACTTTACAATTATTTTAATATTTGCACGCATCACGATTATTTATTTTATTTAAGCGATGATTTAAACAATTTTAAATGCTCAAGAAAATCTTGTTAAATAAAGCGTCTCACAAAGATGACGAATATGTATGAAATTATAATTTCTTCAATAGTGCACTATATCCAAAAATAACAAAAGTTGATACTGACTGTACGTCACATAATTAAACGCAAATATGCGAATTTTGAGATTCTTATTGTCCTTTGCCAGTAAAGTGACAATACAGTTTATGTTATGATTATTAAAATAGATGCATTCTTTGAAATTGAGTTATTATAATATCGAATACAGAAATCAATATCTCTGGTAACAGATAGACAGACAGATAGAAAGAAAAAGAGAGAGGAGAGAGAGAGAGAGAGAGAGAGAGAGAGAGAGAGAGAGAATCAAGACGTAATAAATAATTTTAAAAAAGCACGATAATGATTTTATTTCTTTTCTAATTTTATGAAATTTAATCTTTTTAATTTTATGAAATTTATTTTCATTTTCATTTTCTACTTGTGCACAATAAAAAATATTTTTACTTTATGTATAAAATATTCCATGAAAAAAAATTTTATAAATTTGTATAGAATATACATCATAATTGAACATACATGCAATTATCTGTACAATATATTAAAAATTATTTTTACCTTTGCTTATCAAGTAGGATTAACTAATGTGTATATAAAGATAGCTTTTAAGTATAGTTCTACATTAAAGTGAATTCTTTAAAGTGAATTCTATCAAGCAATTTTTTGTATATGTTGTAAATTTAAAATATAAATGTTACAGACTTTTTTTCTCTTATATTTATTTTTCTCTTACCTTTGATATTAATTCCTCAATAGGTATCAATGGACTATTAAGTGCTGGAGCTTCTTCAGCTATTGGTAAACGGTAAAGAGCTTCCACGAGTTTCTCTGTCTGATTCTACATAAAAATCGACTACTTTATCATACAATTTTTTTTATATTTAATGTACTATATTTAATCTTTCACATTTAAATATACAACAGTTTTACTTAATATTTGAACTTCATTATTTATTCTAAATAAAAGATAATATTAATTCTAAATAATAAAAATATTAATGATAATAAATAAAGATAATTCTAAAATAGAGAGACAAATTCATTAGTTCTATATTAAAAATTAGAAAAAAATACTTTGGTAATTTTACAAAAATCTATTTTATTGGTTAATATTAGCAAAACAAAATATTTACACATAATCAATGAAAAACATTAATATATTAAACATAATTAATAGATTTGAATACGCTCTAATAAATACAATTGGACGCGTAAATAATAAATAAGTTTATTCTTTACCCTTCCATTATTTCCTTCATGATTATTATTGTCTGTTTGTCTCATGCTGTTAATTACTGCATTTGAACGATTGCCTTCCTCCAAACAGGATTTCTTTCTCATTGTTGGCATTTCTGATGACTATTTAATTGAAATTTATTTTTTTACATTTATTTTATTTTTTATTTCAAATATTTTTCTTTAACAAAAATTGTTAATTATAATGATAAGTTGTTTAATTTACATAAACCTTTTTAAATGAAAGTGGACAATGAATCACTTACAATAGAATTGAATTGCTGTTCATAGAAATTGTAAAAAGGCAAAGGCCTGTTGACAGCTGCCACATCGTATAATGCAAAGGTATTCAGTTTCACGTTATTTTTTAATAACTGAGATAAAGTTTGACTGATTTCTCTAGCGCCGCCAATTAGAGCAATCTAAATTATAATAATATTTTTAATTACACCGATGTATTAATAAAAAGGATAAAGAAATAGACAATTTAATCTATGATAATGAAGCGAATAGAAATGTATAAAATGAAAATGAATCTCTCGCTATCAAAACTTAATCGTAAATAATACCTCAAAATTCTTTTCACCAATACAGGTTCGACGTGATCCAACGGATTTTACAACTGATTTTGCGGCTCGGGAAAACATGGTTAAGTATACTAAAATAATTTAAAAAATTTTTAACGACTTCATCAGACGCCCGACATATTCAAAATGATTGAGCAATGAGCATACGGCGTTTGTTACAAATAAACATCGATTCTTTCAATTTCAACTGTTTGAATATGTAAGAAAAATTAAAATATCGTACAATTTTACATTCGACATTTTATTATGCAAATATAAATGTTATTCGAAAATGCTTACGCTAAGTAAATTAATAAGTAATATTAATTTTATTTAATTAAAATGTAAAATCAAGATGTAAAAATTTCTCTTCTGGGATCAAAATTTTTATCTCAAAAAATACTTTAAAATAAAATATTAATTTAAATACTTTACTTTTTATGAATATTACTTTAAATTCACAACTAAATCTTTACTGTAAATCAATCTTTATTATAAAAATTAAAGTTGGTATTAGATGTAAATTTACATTTCACTGAATTTATATAAAATTGAATTAAATAACTGAATTTTAAACATAATTCAAAAACAATAATTTCAATATACACATTTTTGTACATAATGTGTAATTAATGTGAATTTTTTTTTATTATGACAATATAAGAGTATCATATTTTACACTGTTGTAGCCATCTAGTGTTGTAGTAAGAAAACAGAAACTCGATATAATTACTGGCGATCATCTATATAGGAATGTTAAATATAGACGTTCCTTACCGATTGCTATTCTACTAGTCCGCTGAAATACCGACAACTACTTAAGGTAGCTCGGTCACTTACCCTTGAACGATAAAATTGAATTATTTCATCTCTTTAATAACTACAGTCTAAAATGCAATTTATCATTTTATCATTCACAGTTTTATAATATATGAAATTATTAAAAAATATTAAGATAT